TCTTTCTCTATCCCTCTCCCTCTCCCTCTCCCTCTCCCTCTCCCTCTCCCTCTCCCTCTCTCCTTCCTATTGAAAGATTTGGGCCAAACCAATTCCACCAAGGGTAAGAGCTTTTAATTAGGAGGTTTATCATGATAAAATTAACACATGTGACTTGCTACAAAAAAGGAGACCCTCTCTTGTCTATCTCCGCATTGGTGTGTTTTATGCAAGGGTAATGGAGAAACATGCTTTCACTTACTGATCGCCTTCCCTTGTGCTTCGAGTATTTGGGCTTGATTTCTTGCTTTGTTTGCTTGTAGGTGGATCCCTCCTTCCAACATGTCAAGCTTCATCTAGCCGAAAAGGAGGGGAAAATTCATCTGGAGAAGTCTCAGAGCTACAATAACTTGGACTATTTGGGAGGAGAGAAATGCAAGAATCTTTCAAGAAAAAGAGCGAAGTAAAGGAACCTCGTTACATTGTATAACCATTAGAGTTGTTCATTGGATGAAATCTCTTTAGCTGTTCTTAGATTTTTCCATGGAAGACCTAATGAGGAAGTGGCTAGAGGTGGCTACCTCCTCTTTAGTGAAGCCTAGAAGTAGTGTGTTATGGACTCCACCGTCTGAGAGATTTGTAAGAATGAATTTTGATGGTAGCAAACCCAGGACCCTCAAGGATTGGAGGTATCTTTAGGAATGACTAGGTCATGTTGTGGCATTGTTCTCGAGTCCAATTGGTGACTGGAGACTCTTTGAGGGCAGAACTACTAGCAATGGTGAAAGGGGTAGTCAAAGTAAAGGAATTGGATCTTCATAGGCTGATTATAGAAGGACACTCTTAGTTGGTGATCAATTGGCTACAAAATAAAGGGAATGGCTTCTAAAAGTTTCATAATGAACTGAAGAAAATCAAATGGCTTTCTAGGAATATGGATGCTACATTCCAATGGATCCAAAGGGAAACTAATAGAATGGCTTGTAATTTGGCTAAACAAGGGGTTGGAAGAACTGAACTGTTTTGGTCTAAATTGTAAATTTGATTGTTTGTGGAGATAATTTTATTTCCAGCTGTATTGTATTCTTTATCTGTCACTTTAATTAATGAATGTTTCTGTTATTGATAAAAAAAAGGTATCCAGAGATTAAACTTAAAGTAATTAACAGGCACTTGCACAGGATATCAATTATTATAGGTTCCTGTTTCTTATATTGGTAATAGTCCACTTTATTAATTACTGATAAAAATTGTAGGAATAGACAATGATAGAGTGCCAAGCACCCCATTCCCCAAGGTAGCCTCCGCTCTTATAAACTCCTGCTTTTATAAGTTCAGAATCATATTTAAGTGGTTCTCTTTCACTCAAATACCCATTGTGGCATCTAGAGTAATCTATACAACAAAGAGTTGAAAAGTAAATAGAGCTAAAAGATGACTTACGAGTCATTCAAAACCATTGTTCTTGAGCCAGTGATTCCCATAACACACAAATCAATGTTAAATTCTTCCTTCAATACCCCTGCCTGCCAAAATTATGTTTTAAAATATGATCAAATCCTAGTGATGGGAGACCTTAGTTCATAAAAAGCCAGTAAATTGTCATGGTGGCAGGTGAGAACAAATATAGCAACAGTTAGATGATTAGACACCTAAAACTGGCATATAAAAAGGATATCCAGATAAAGGAAAATAAACTACAATCCACCAAAGTAGATGTCCATGTATGTTGTATCAGATAATGATAAATGTGGAGAAAGATTACACTGTAGAGACAAGTGGAAAGCTTGAGGCCACAAGATTCACAACCACACCGGGGTAATGTCATATATCTTCATAGTTCCTAGATAGAATCAATTGTTTCAATTGCCCAAGAAATATTTGCATCCAAACTAAACTTCCAGTTAGCACAGCCACATTCTCCCTATTGGTAGGATCGGCAGGATTAGAGGTGGAAGGAGACTAAGATGGTGACAAGATGGGTCTGAAAGGGTCCATGGATCTTCAGACACTTCTTTGGGGAGGACGAGRCCCTAACATCCAAAGCAAAAATCCTGTCCAGATAGATTTGTATATCACCCAACTCTTTGCATAGTGTTAAGTGAACAGATCAGATTCCTATTGAGAGGCCATCCTCCTAGTTTATCTTTTTTGTTTTACATGAATGCATCAGAGTTTTTGATTTCCTCCACACAGAGGTTTCTTGGGTTATGCTTATCTTAATATACCTAAAAGTTGTACTTTTCATCTTTCTCCAAGATTAACAAAACTCTTTGACCAAGACCAATAAAAAATGTAGTTTTCTTTTGGGTTTTTACTGTTGAAAAACACCAAGATAAATTAAGGTGATTAAAGAAAAGAGTTTATTTGTTTATGGGCTGTTATTCTTATTTATTTTTATTTTATATGGGCTGTAGTTAGTGGCCTGTGGGCCTAATATCTTTTAGTTTATTTATTTGTTTCTATAGTGCTGCCACCTTACTAGGGGCAAAGATGTAGTTCTCCTTTTATTTCAGTATTATAAAAAAAAGTAGAAGCTTGCTTCAAGACCCATGATTACTTCTTGCAATCTCTTCTTTCTTTCTCTCTTCTACTTCTTCTCTCTTCCCCTTCTCATTTTTAACCTGAAATCACTTTCTAAATTTAGTTTTATTAACTAAATCAAGTTAAGTTCAGACTAAATATAAAAGTTTATAATTACTATTTATAGTAAAAACAGACCTGAAAACAGGTACCACAAGAATTGTAGCAGGAAAGAGAAGTCTACATCTTCATCATCTTCCTCAAAGTTTCCTTGCTCTGGATATCATCTTGTTGTGAATAATGAGAGGAAAGGTAGAAAAGGAGAATAAAAATGTAGTGAAGAGAGAACTGGGAGAGAATTTTTGTCTAATAAATTAACATGCCAACCTGTCTCTCTCTTTAATGAAAGAGGCTCTTTATATAATATTAAAATTATACAAAATTACAAGAAAACCTCTAATAGATTTTGTATTACATTAAGTTCCTGACTATATATTTTTCTTCCTATAATAATCCATTTCTCATAAAAACTGAATACTTCAACATTGGTCAAGATTTATAGCATTCTAATCTAGTTCAAGAAACAAGTGAGAATGCCTAGTCAGGATACTAGTGGATATAGTGTTAAGTGGCTGACCTGTCCCAGATTTTGAGTTTCACAACCCCACCTTGTACCTCATCCGAGTCATTTGTATGGGATTAGGAATATAAAGGAGAGAAATTAGTTGATCCAATTTATTCTCCTTTCACCACTAAGGTGCTCATGCATGCTGGTGGCAAGAAGGATAAGTTTTGATCTCAACTATATATTTCTCATGAATCATTATCATCTCTTTTTTTAATTTCTTCTTGCTTGGTTCATTAATTGCTTAATCCTTTTTTTTTTTGTGTGTGGGGGGGGGGGGGGGTAATGGTTTTGCTAAAACAGTTTGGTGATGCAATGGTTGATTCTTTCATGAGCTAGTGTGTGGGGTCAGTTGTAAACTCAACAGAGCCCAAGTACAAAATAACCTGAACCAACCAATTGCAGTCCCAGACTTTGATCTAGAATTGAAAAGGAGAAAGTCCTACTTGGAAGAACATGGTGGGAAGAAGAGGAAGAATAAAGATCTAAATGATGAGAAAAAGAGATTCAGGTCTAAAATAAAGAAAGAAGAAAAGGAAAGAAGAAAATAATGGACTATTATGCACAGGTGACGTCAAAATTAATCTTATTCCATTCATCCATCTCTCAAACTTTCATTATAATTGCTCTTTATAGACTAATTGATCTCCCTTTACAGACCCCATTTCAACTAGGAAAATGGCCCAAAACAAATATGAACTACTTAAAAACTAAGGCAACCTAATAGCTAACCCATATGGATACTCAAATAAGGATTTCTAAAATAACTCTGATAGCCCATTACAAATCCTATACAACTAACCTTCTTGCAAAGGCACCAGAAATTTCTAAAAATAGTAAATCGTGATTTACGATAAATAGTAAGGTTACAATAAATACTAAGAATAGTAAATGTATGGCTATCTGTAAGTTTGAAACTTAACACTTCTGATACACTAACAAACTAGAAAATAAATTTCAGGACTCAAAAATACTGATACCCAAAATACCTAAAAATTATGAATTTATGATATTGATATTGGATGAGAAATCAAGGAATACGAAGAAAAATTATTTCTTTTTCCATGGATTCTTTTCTTGCTTCCATGCCTGCATCACATTTCTTCCCAAACCTGTTTTAGTTTATTCCAGATGTCTTAACAGTGTTTCTTATAGCCAGACCAATCTGGATTTGCTCCTCACCGAGTGCTCCTCACAGCACACCGTAGTCATGTAACGGGAACATCTCCCCATGAATGATGACATGCAAGTATGGGAGATGTTCCCAATGTGCGGCTGCAACATCTCTGAGGTTGGTGTGGGAAGCAAATCCATCTCTAGCCAGACAGGCCCAATACTGTAGCCGATCAGTGCCATCTTTTCCCTTGTCATTCAACTCTTTTTTTTTTTTTTTTTTGAGAAAAGATAACTATTATATTCAAAAGGGGTAAAGGGGGGATGTACATGAGAAGATGTACAAACAACCATCAGGACTCACAACTATAAAATCACCCCACTTAAGGGGGCAAACTATTAGCACTATACAAACTTACCATCCTACGTGCTTTCCTTCTTTATCAAAAACTTCCTACATGCTTAAGTCTTTTCTATTCATTAGTTAGGTTTCAGCCCCTTTTTATCATAGTATGTCCTACATCATTATGCAACTTGTAAAAAGAAGTATTCAACATTTTTACCTTGTATGATGTGAACCAATATAGTTGTCCCAAATTCAATCTATCTGTTTACCATAATATGTTCCTAATTTCCTATTGGGTCAAATCTACACGTGTACATTTTTTACAAAATAAGGTTCTAAAAACTAAATATTTCTTACTTTGTACAACTGAATTATCATGTAGATAGACACAAAGATAAATGCGTATTTAATTAATTGGATATCTTTGTCAAGAGGAAAATAATCACACATATTCTAAACATTGCATCGTAAGCCTTCTACAGATCTTTCAAGTGACTAACATTAATCAGCTAGTTTCAGGTCCAGCCTAAACAGTTACTTCATGTACCAGAGCACACAGAGGAGATCATGGTAGGAAGGATACAAGAAGAAAGATTTATCAAAAAAAAGGGTACAAGAATAAAGATGGAGTATTGAATAAAAAACCTGATCTCTGAGCTGGTCAAGAAAAGTGGAACCAATCAATCCCGGTCCAATAATGCCCATTGCTATTGTAGTTTTGGAGAGATAAAATCTGGAGTGAACAGCTCTTAAAGCTCTTATGCAATCTTCTTGCTTAAGTACAACAGTAATATTGTATTCAGAGCAGCCTTGAGCTATAGCCCGAACATTTATATTAGCCTGCAGGAGAGTAGGAGTATTTGTTCATCCTATAAATTATGAGTAGACAGCATCCAGGGAACTGAGCATAAAGCGAGCCACAGAAACTAAAATCTTCATCCAGAATTCAAGTACCTATAGCTGTCAAACCTCTCCAAAAGTCCGAAATTCAATCCAACTATCCTGGATTCGGATTATCTGTTTACATAATCGAACCGGATTCAAATTTTGCAATCTGCATCCGATTAATAATCGGAACGGATGTGGATTTAACTACATCTGATCCAATTAAAATCTGAATCTGATTATATTATAATTTTAATACATAAAATTTATATAATTATATATAAAATAGAACAATATAATTTTATATATTATACTATATATAAATTCATATATATAATAAATTCAATATTTTATATAATATTAACTTATTATATATAAGTTAAAAAGTAATTAAGGGTCCGTTTGGTTTGCAGTTGGAATCGGAATCGGAATGGTCTATTCCCATAGTCTGTTTGATTCAGACAGGAATGGGAATGGAAATTAGAATCAGGAGGAATGGGAATGGCCATTCCCTCAAATGGGGGAATGCCATTCCACCAGGAGGGATTCCAATTCCACCCAACCAAACAGTTGGAATCAGAATAGTCCATTCCGATTCCGATTCCAGACCCCTATTCCCGCAAACCAAACAGGGCTGAACTTTTTTAATTTTTTCTTTACTTAAAAAATGAAGCAAAGACTCAATGTTTTCAAACCGTCATTGACCTGGACAGTCGGACCGTTTGGCCCAGGAACCGTCCAGGCAACCTGTTCTGTTTTACCCCAAACCTGGTCCTTGGCCAAAAACCGTTGAATTGGTCAATGACCCATTGACATGGGTGGTCGAACTGTCAACTCGTTTGACCCGTTCAACATTTTTTTGCCTTTTTATTTTAATTTTTAAATTTTTTCGTCAGAACGGGTCATCCGTTCAAACCGAACAGTCAAACTGTCAACCCGGAAACCGGTGGCTAGAACGGTTCCAAGTTGGTTTTTAAAACATTGGCAAAGATGGATTAAATCCAAATATGGTTCAAGTCTGATAGGATTTGAATCCAATCCAAGATCTTCAAATCCGATCCTGTTCGGATTTTAGCTTTCGTTTCTRGGGCAGGCGAATGATTTTTCTGAGTATCAATCGGAATCCAATCCATTTATAGCCTTACCAGTACCTACCTTGAACATCCAAGGTAGAATAATAACAAAAATTCTCAAGCATGAGAGATCACTACATAAAGATTTTGAAAAATAGACATGCAGAAACCTTTTCCGGTATTTGTCATTTTCCTTTTACAAGAAAAAAAAAAGGTAATTTATTAATAAAGAAGGTGAAGAAAGAAGCAAGCCTAAATACCTTTGCCAATGCATTGAAAAGAGTAGCACTAACTCCAGGTGTACTTGCCATTTTCTGGCCAACTGCTGCCAAAATGCTACAGTTGTGAATAACCTCAATCTGAAAGAAGCATGGTTAATGAACAAGCGAATAACTTAAGTTGTTAAAAACCAATAATTTATTAAATCAAATACCAAAATATTTTACTGTTGATGCTCCTAAAAATTGCAGCAAGGAAATCTATAGAAACTTCAAGAATGACACATAGAACCAATGTTCAAAAAACCAGACCGGGTATAGAACCAGAGAAGGGAGAGGTTCACGGGTCAGAGGTTCAATCGGGGTCGAACCGTGATGACATGGCATATACATATCTATACTACAGGTCATATAAATACTATATATAATATATTTTATAACTTGCAATATATTTAAATATGGTAGTTAGATGGCAAGTTCCTTAATTTTTAAAGCAAATGACTAGGTTTCAAGTCTCTTAATTTACATTCTCTTTTAAAATACGTGTATGATAAAGTAATATGTACAATAAAGAGTCATTAATTAACACAAGTAATAAGGTGGACTAAGGGTAATTAAGCAACATATAGAAATTAGAGGTCATGGGTTCAAGTCTTACTAAAAACATTTTAAAATTTCAATTGTTAAGGACCTAGGCGGTTTCGCAAAACCGGGACCGGTTCACTGGTTTTCCAATCAAACTGGCAGGTCAGCTGGTTTCCACTAGTTTTTGATCAAGTGCGGTTATTGGGGTATGACCGAAACGGCCAAGGTCCTAAGTCACAGTTAAACTGGTCCAACCGGTCTGGTTTTCTAAACACTGCATAGAACCTTTAATAACTAGAAACTCCGAATCTTCATAATTCAAAGGCAGATATTTCTACAGCCAACTGAGATTCAATTTTTTTATGGAATACATAACCATGTTGACCAACTAATAGAGGGATGTCTATGCATATAGGCCGAGTATATGACCTCACTTGAAAGATGAAAGTCTTATCAATTTGTTGCACCTTGAAATTCCTTCAAAATATTGGGCTCCAAATGTTCTCTTGTCACTATTTTTCAAAATAATAATCTGTTGTTTCTAACAGAATGGTTTTAAAACTTCACCACAACCAATTAATTCCACCAAAACACTTCTACTTCCATGGTAACCAAAGCAAAATTTGTACTACTATTTATATCTCAATAAATTTTACATTACCTTTTCTCAAAAAATTTACCCAATTGAAATTCAAATCAAAATTCCATAACTTTGGTCAAATTTCAATAATTTTTGAGTGTTCCAATTGAACACTTACAAAAATACATGATTTATAAATCAAAAGAAGAGAGCATGCTAAGTAAAACTTTAAAAAAACATAAAAGACAAAGAATTTTCTTTTTTTTTGAAAAAGATAAGATAAGATTTTATTAATGAAATACAACAAGGGTGTAGGGAGGCAACCCAAACTCAGCTAAACCACCCTCACACTGGCACTTACAAGTCCYGCACACTCCTACATTGCAATAGTCAATAGATACCTCATACCATAAAGATTCATGCTGGAACCCCTTCAAGGCCAAAACCCAAGAGGCAAGCCTCCCTACTTAGATTGTATTATGGAAAGGAACCAAAGACTTCCTGGACAGAAAGAAGATCACTACTCCCCAAAATCTGAAACCTGAGAGATTCATACACAGGATTCAGCCCCAACAAGAATGCAAACACCCACTATTGTGAAACAAACTTATTGTACGCCTTTGCATCATCATCATCATCACTTTTCAACTCAATGGTCTAGTAATGATCTATCTCCTTCCATACTGAAGTGAGAGCTGAATAGCAAGCAAACAAGTTACGGCCTCCCTGCCTACAAGTAGTGGATTCAACCTAGAACTGATAAATTTTTGCATAGTGTCTCTGCTCTGAATAGGTCAATTTAGCCTGTTCCCCTATCTCATTTTCTGTATCAGTCCACATAAAATTCTTCCTCACTTCCGGGTTCCATAGCCACAAGGAGCCAAGACATCACCATACTGTTCTCTTGATCCCACCTATCATATTCAGCAGTCCCTATCTTAGGTTCCTTGACCTTCTTATTGATATAGCCAGATTTCCCCCTGGCTATAACATACAACTTTATTCCCTTAGACCATTCCAGATAATTTAATCCATTCAATGGGGTAATAAACATAGGGAAATTTATGCTTTCAGCCCCAACAGTAGATGTTCCCTGAGGTGATGTAAGTCTAGATGATGCAGAATTATCAGTTGCCATTCACTCAAGCACCCAAACCACCAAAAAAACACAATCTGAATTCAATAAATAGAACTCGACACCTCACATCAAACACACATGAAGGAAAAATAAGGGGTCAAACCCTAGTCGAACAATAGGAAGCTAGGAACTGCTGAAATCCTTCTCATACACTGGCTACACAGCCAAAAGACAAATTTTATTCATCACCAATACTGCACACACTGCTTACAATACATACCTATTGTGCACAGGATCATTTGATCCACTACAGTCACAAGAAAAGGCACACAACCCGACGCACTTCCCTTGTCACTACAGCCAAGAAAAAAGAGGAAGAGAGATGTGCGATCGCTGGTCTGATCAGCCCAAAGGAGAGAACTCTTTCCACAGTTGAGGAAAGAAAGGAAGAAAAAGGTTTAAATAGAGAAGTCGATCTGAGATCTTCTACCGCCCAAGAACGTGGCTCTGATACCATGTTCTGCACTAGAGAATTAATAAAAATAGAGGAGAAGAGAATTGAAGAGAAAAAAAGATAGTTTGAGGGGAAAAAATCTTGGCTGGTGGCACCCCTTTTACTATTTATACTTAAGTGACATAAAAAGAAGAAAATTACAATATAGCCCTTACGGCACATACTATCATAAAAAACGTATAAATCTCAACACAGAGAAAATCAAACCAATCTTCTTGTATTCCTTCAAACTGACACCAATATTTTGAGCATTGACTTTCATAAACAGGATTACAATAGGGTGGTTGAAGTGGAAAGATGTATTTGGTGTGTTGTAACACCAGCTTATACCAACAAGACTAAAAGGAAAAAATTTTAAGATTGCCAACATTATATGGGACAAAGTGTAGGGCAACCAGAAAACAATGTATCAAAAAAATGAGTACATCAAATATGAGGAAGATGAGCCATCATTGATCAAAAAAAAGGATGGGGATGCTGAAATGGATGGCCAGCAAGACGAGGAAGGACATAATTAGAAACAAGCACATGAGGACCCAGGAGTAGCCCTGTTTTGTGACAAGATCAGAAATAGTAGACAGAAATGTTTCATTCATGTGCATAGACAACCAGTAACTGCAGCAGTGAGGTGTGGCTTACTGCAAGTAGAAGGCTCTAAAACCGATCTGTTTCCCACCTCTTGATTCAATGTTGTTATTCTTATAGTGTGTGGTCCCATTGCTTGGTGCTGTTCAATAAACAATGGACAGTCCCAAGAAATCTCAAGTATTTAATTTCCTCTTGGCGAGTAAAAGATTTTAGTCCCTGTGGCAACATCCAATGGAGATTGGTTCCTCCTGCTATTTGCTAGTTGATTTGGAGAGAACGCAATAGAAGGATCTTCGAACACAAAGCTATGACAAAGGAACATATAATGGGGAAGGTTGAAGCTTGAAAGATCTATCATTCATTGGTCTAGCCTCTTTAAGGAGTTTCGAGGCCTAAAATACCAAAATTTCTGTAATCATTGGGAGCAGATCATTTCTGACATCAACTTTCTAGTCTGATATAGTGCCTTCTTTGGTAAGGAATTCTCTGACTCCAATACCTTTTGTATATGCCTCCAAGTGAGAATTCATGTATATTTTGTTTGGGGGAACCTCACCCTCCTTTAATATATGCATACTACTATTGTCAAAAAAAGGCAAACTAGCTGGCATACTCTATCAAACTGACTACTACAGTACTACCCCCAAAGGAAAGGAATGTTGATCCAAAATTTTCTTGTGCCTTTTCCAATAACCATTAACCAAGCCCCAAAGGAAGCCCTAAGAAATAGAAACTGTGGAGGCAATAATTTAAAACATCCAATGAACATCAAGTATTGATTGGAAAATCCAGGAACTAAGCACACTGGAAAAGGCTGGAAAAGGACAAAGTTAGTTTCTTTCAGAAAATAACAATGCTATTTTGTAGGCATCTGTTTAGTTAAACTAAAGTAGAACACCTGTGAAATACGCCCAGCATCCAATGCTTGACAAAACCTAGACTGCAGAGCCTCAGCAACAGCATTTACTTCTTTCTCAGGCACAGCAAAGCAGACAGAATGCTCACTACTAGCCTGCATTTATCCAATCATTAAGAAACAGAAATTATTCATTTGAACCCATGTAATGGATATCAACAGGATATATGTACCTGGGATATCATTATAACGTTAGCTCCCACATCTTTCACAGCACCAAAAATGTCATCAGCGGTACCAGGAACACCAGCCATTCCAGTTCTGCATCAAAATAACTTGAAACACATAAATTAGGCAAAAAGAATGGAACAAAACGAGATACTTCCAGCTGCAAAAAGACATGCAGCTTGGGTCCATGGAACGCATGCTTACCCTTCAACATTTACAAGGGCCAAATTGTCAATTGTTGCAAATCCTTTAACAAGAGACTTCAATTGCTTACTATCTCCATTTTCATCAGCAGGAAGCCTGCAAATAGTTGTTCCAGGAGCAGAGAGATTGAAGATATTTCTTATTACAATTGGAATGTCATATCGCATTACTGGGATAATGGTTCGTGGATGCAAAACGTTTGCCCCAAAATATGACTGCATATACAGGTAAGCTGTTTGTTAGGAATGTCTGATCAACAAATATATCTCACAATTCCAACAATATAAGAAGAGTAGTCAATTTTTCACCATTTCCCAGGCCTCCTGATATGACAATTTTCTCAATATCACAGCCTTGCTAACTGCAGAAAAGAAATTATTTTTGGTTTTACAATCAAGCCCATATTAAGTTTCATTCAGATTCCAGAATGCAATATTTCACCTATGAAAAGCATAGTTATCAAAATCAATGAGAGTTCCTATCATTTCTCATAATGGATTAACCAAGTACACAAGTAAGCACCAGTTCAAACCTTTTCTGGGGTCTGCACTATACACACCATCCACATCAGTCCAAATTGTAACCTGACGGGCCATGAATAGAGCTCCCATTATAGCTGCAGAGAAGTCGCTTCCATCTCTTTTTAGTGTTGTAGGAATATTTTGGGGTGTACTGGCTATGAAACCAGTAGCAATGATTATCCTAGATGGATTTTTAGAGAACCAACTCTCAAGTCTTCTCTCAGATTCCAAAATATCAGGATCAACTTGATTAGAGTTGGTAGGATTTACAATAAGAACATCTCTAGTATCCATCCAATTGCACTCCACTCCTTGCTGCACCAAGAGAATTACTTAAAATAAGTTTTATAAAGTTAAAATGTTCAGTTACTTTAGCACTCCAAAAGCAACAAACTTCTGCACCTTTCTGACAACAGATGACAATATCTGAGCAGACCATAACTCTCCATGGCCCACCACAAAATCTGAAAAAGATTCTGTGGCATGACCAGCTGCAATACATTAAGGTGTCAGCAACTGCATTGGTTAGCAGCTTCTATTTACCAACAATAGAAACCAAAATAACAAGAAAAACCAGCATATAGTCCAAAGTATCATGCATGTTTCAATTAAACTGATGACCAGAATGCCTCTTTCAATGTAATTGTACAAATTGAAAACTGTATGAGATCAAAATGGCATACTAACAAAGCTTAAATTATGCATTCAGAAAGAAATAAGCAACAAAATCATATCAAGTTTACGGAACCCTTCAAAACTTGTGCAAATTGAAGCCAAGTTCAAAGGAGCCCTAAAACATTTTTGTGAAGTTTCAAAATGGGTGCAACAAGGTGAGCAACTCCCAATAGATGGATTTTTCTACAGAAAAGACTTTAAAAGGTTCCTCATTACAGATAATATGGACAAGGGAGATTTTACCCATTATCATTTACAAAAAATAAATAGTTTCCTAGGAAGATAAAAAGGGAAAGAAAAGCATATCACATCTAAGCCCCTAAAAGTATTTCAGAAAGTAGTTCTAGCTTCAATGTGGTAACAGATCATACATCAGATACTGGGAAGAGAAAAGGTATGGGATGGGAAGCTCCCACCAACTGTATGGGCTATGCATGTTGAAGAGGTGTACCATAACCAGATATTTTCAAGCTAGAAAAGGTAGTTAAATGGTGACCACCATTTCAAAGACCAAGACAGCAAAATTAGATAAATGAGAGTCTGTAAACCTGATAGTAAAGCCCATCCATGTAAGTTAACAGCAGGCCATAAATTAATTTAAAAGGAAGTTGGGCCCCAATCACAACTTATAAATCATTTCATGGGCCTGTAGTATCCATTTAAAGAGAATGTCACTTGTCTTTTCATAAAGAGAGGGCTTTTTTTCCCACCTTAAACCCCTCTTCAAGTGGGGTGACACATAGCACCCTAAGAAAAGAGGTGTGGGGAGTTAGCTACATCATGGTTTCAAGTGTCGCGGCATTTCACTAATGTCACCCGACATATGTCGATGTCAAGGCTCACCGACATGAAAATGGATGGTAATATAAAAATTACATTATTTCGGTCGACATTTCCTATATTTCGGAAATGTCAACCAAATCGGTTCAAATAACCAAAAAAAAAGACAGTTTTTCCTATTATGTCAACAGGATGTCGACTAATGTACATCAATAATATAATATATTAGTATATTATATTAATATAATACAGCATATTAATATAAATTATTCCATTAATAATTTCTATTTAATATTTCAAATAAAATATTTATAA